ACCCTTCATGGGTAAGGTGGAACTTCTTTTGGAGACTAAAATTGATTTGTACTAATGCGATGTTCTGGCATATCAGCCTGTATCATCAGTACCGTCAGTTAATTTACAGCTCATAGAAACCGGTGTTTAGGTTCTTCAATAAAGGAAGTGGAGTCAAAATGGCGATAATGTATCCGTTGTGTGTTTAGCTGATGCATTTCGAACCCAAATAATCCATTATGGGCGATGGAAAGATAATGAATTGGAATACGTGCCTATTCAAAGGTTTCCTTTTGTATTCAACTCCACCCCTATCGCCCTCTTCAGTCGTCACACATTGTGATCATCGCCATCTTCATTTTGAATTTTTCCACAGTAACGGTTTACATTTGTTCCGGGTCTCAATTTGATAAACACGTTTCTCAAGGTGTAGTTATTATGATTCATATAGCAACCTTTGAATTTGAATAATCTCTGGGCCAACTTATATTCAAATAGTTGACAACCGTTAGTTACATAGTTGCAAGAGTAATTCTGATTTATGTTCAGGTTATGTATCTGCGGGATATTGATTAATGGGTTGTTCACGAGAGCTGAAGAATGTGAAATATATATGTATATTTTTTGAGATACTGAAAAAGTAGCTATCATTTTGCAAAACAAGTTGATGAATGATTTCCACTTGAAATAAACTCTTATAGTTGACAGGTATCTACCAATATTTGCGTTGTTGAATTGATACCGGCTATTTGAGAAGAACTAGTTTGGTCAACTTCATCTTTATTAGACTATAGTTTCAATTTATTCACAACAACGATGATATAAAACACTCAAATATAGCTTTAACAAAACTTAACTTACGGAAGTAATAATTTAATACTACAGTAAATTGATTGACATTATTTGGAGAACCCGTATATTATGTATATTGATGACTATTGTCTAGGAATTTGTGATACTAGGCATAGATAAACATAGTACCTGATTATTCCAGTTACTCATACTCTCGAATAGGATAGGCATCATTAGGCATCAAACACATATAAATCATATATCGAAATAAAATTGACCATGATTTATTTCTCTTACTCGTTTTATGTTCTTGTTACGTCTTTTCAAAAATGCTATTTACACGTTTTATACTTATTCATAGACTCTTCATGTTTGGTTCTACACATCATCTACAATATGTGACCTTTATGAACTTGTTTCCTTATGATGCTGTCATAAAAGTGGTTTCAGTAGATCAGTTATCATCATCACTTTTATTTTAATTTATAATTTCCAAAATTTGATTAGGTTTCATTGATAATTTTAGATGATGTGAATAAATGAACATTACTCGACATCGAAGAGAAATTTGGGGGTCTTCGAAAAGTTTAAAATTGAGTCATAAGGGTGGACCAAAACTAGCAAAACCAAAAATATCAATAGAGGGACTATCTGAGGTGTAATATCACTGAAATTCGATAATATTTCCCAAAGATAATGAGGTAGGAACAATGGAAGAGTTAGGTGTTTTGAATTTTAATTCGAAATATTTATTTTCTACGATATACAGGCTGATTTTGCCTTGTTGAGGGTCAGTTTTATAACACGAAAATGTTGATGGTCCAAGGGTGGAACCCTGAGGCGCGTTTGCTTAGGATATGTGTTTTGGTTGTTAGAACAAATGCCTAGTTAGTGCATTGAGTCAGATTCGTGGATAAATTTCGGTGATTACATTTGGTGGGTCACAAAGAAGAGATTCTGTTTCGAAGTGATGTAGAGACCTAAAATAACTACTACACCTTCGCGAAACTTACTGCTAAGTAAAGTATTCCTGCGATTGAGGTGAACCTCAGAAAGGAGATAAAATCAATAATCATCTCGTTCGCCGCAAAGAAGCTGCCGAAGAAATGCACTCTTGTTCCTAATAAAGCACATCTGTGTTCAGTTCAGTTGAAACCGGATTTCCAGGAAGCATAGAAATCGCTAGGTGAAGTAATTACAGATTGGTATTGGGCTCACGTGCGTAAAGAGACGAATAAACATGCCGAGGGCCGCAAACATTTACCCAGCACTCATGGCCGGGTAATATACGGCCTTTTAGACAGCCGACAGGGTTGCCAACGTTATTTGTGCGGGTCTGCCGAAAAAACACTTAGCGGTGTCATGGTTCTTTGAGAGTCATGAAATTGAAATTTCCTGCTAGTCTAACCGATGCACACCTCTTCATTATTATATCAACAAAGTTTCCCACTTTGTATCTGTCTGTCTGTCTGTCTGTAATCAACGGACGGAGTGACTCATGAGGAAAGTATATAGGTATAACACATTAATGTTTCGAAAATCTGCCTAAGCCCCTTGAGGTTTAACATATTTTTCATAGGTCTTTAGGTAATTGACAATCAATTTGAACAGATACAACATTATTTCTTATGAAATTTGTGTTTATCCACATCAGAAATGTATCAAAGACTGGATTAGTTTCTGATTAAAATTGAATTGATGTTTCACCTGACCCAAAACAATAAATTACTGTTCAAGAAATTACATGTTTTCAAAAATATGTTTGGTTATAATATAATAAAACACACTAGTAAGGGTGACTATTGAATTTCATAATGAGAAGATTCCATCTATACAATGTATTAATATCTTTTTAAGCAGCTGAAATGAATATTTTCAACTATTATTCCATCCAAAACTTGAATATATTAATCAGTATACATCCGTATACGTTTAGAGATAAATCATGTAAATAGTACTATAAATATGCAACCATAAAAAAGGTTAAGTTTTGAAAAATGATTTCACTCGAGCACATAATGTATTACTCAATATTATTCTCAGATTTAACTGTGCCAGCTTCTCTGCCAAACCTTTCTGACTCATCAGCCAAACATAAGCACAATCTAAAAGTCAATTTCGAAATCAGACAAAGCGGTACTAAAGCAAATATCATCCCCGTGAATCTAGAGTGTACGCAAACTTCAACAAATTAGTTATCGATAGTATAACAGAGCTATCTAAATCCAGCCATTAGAAAACATTGTACAATCGTTTCTCTATTTATCCTGAAAACATTCCCAGAGATTCGCGTGAAGAGGATATACATCAAATATCCATTTGTTCAAGATACTCCATCATTTTGTGTCACATTATCCACAATATGAATGATAAGCGAATAGCGGTAACATCTGTTCCTTAGATTCCTACAAATAAAACTTGTTATTTATACTGGGAAAGCACCTAGCACACTTAATCAATTCATTTATCAATATATTTTTGTGCGTTCGTTGCTATCCGTGCAGTGTATAATATATAGTTTATTGAATGATTCGAATTTATAGCTAGTTAGTTTCCATTTTGAATTAAAACTGGATAAATGTCACTGTAACCAGGTAGCTGAAGAGATTTACTGCTTCTTATTGCTTCTCAGAACTTGAGATTTGAAATGTCAGAAATAGTTGTCGACTTTCTAACAACTAATCATTATCATTTACCTCATTACGCTTAGCCAGATACATACTGAGTTGAAAGGACACTTGTCCTTTATTTTCACAGCATTCACACAACAAATAAAAATCTCATAATCAATATGAATTGGACACTGTCAAAGCTATTTTTCGAATTTTCTGGCCGTGATCTGCAGTTTTTCAATGACTGCTGTTTCGCCTACAACTGCGTATGTATTATCAAACGGAATGAGGCAGCAGACGCAATACATCTGTCTGGCAAAATACCAGATATGAAAACCTACTGGCAACTGCTAGTCAATCGAAAATATGCCTTTAATGTGGAACGAAAATTACCACACCATAGCAGTAAATAAAATTTATTGTTTACTCACATGTACACCAAATTCACCTTCGAAAACTGTTCTATTCAGGAGAGATTATAGTTTTTGGGAATAAAGTTTTCGGCTTTCCACCGTCCAATCTTTTTACAAAACTGAGGAAACTTCAAATTTCTTACAGAACAATCTGTAGAAATGGATGAAACATTTTCTATAAACAGATCTCCAGAAAATTCAGTGGCTGTAAAATGGTACTCCCTTTTATGAAATCAATAAATGTCGCCGAATGGAAAAATTGAAGCAGCTTTATTCATGTCAAAGCAGGACGTCATTATCAAAAAGCAGTAAAACTATTCCAATTACTCCAATATGTCGAAAGTTCTTGAAAAAAATCGGTCAGTAAGGTTCAGAAGACTGGTTGTGTCCGTAAAAGTGGTAGCTGTGGATCATGAGGTATCCTCTACTACTTTTGAAAAATAACCTAAAAAATTATATTACATACCTGTTCGGATGATCCTCTGTAATTCACAGAAAATGATAAGGATTCCTGACATTTTTGAATTGATATTCTTGAAATACCCACATATGTTTCGATAATGACATCCACTCCCAATATTTGGGTAGTTGAATGTTTGCGTAATCATTCTAGGTGAATATTTTGTGAGATCAAGTGAATAGATGACAATTATTCAAAACGATTGACAAGCAGACGTGGATTGTTAGAATGGCCTGCTAATTACTTGGTAGTCACATCGCATTGCAAATTGGTTTACATTAGATCATAACAAATATTTTCCAAAATGGGGGCGGTAGACCAAAAAAATCGAGATTTGATAACTCTAGTTTTTGGCGAATATTTGATCTGAAAAAAAATTCTAGTTCTCCGTTTCCTAGATAGCAATGGATCAGAAAAAAACAGCCTATGTAATGTAAAAAATATATTTGTAAACAGACATCATTATTGTTAGGGCGAATGAAAAAATATGAACTACAATTTTGAATACAATTTTCATCAAAATCATGATGTTGATCATTTGTCTGAGGATTTTTAAAACGCAAATTGAACCGGAAATCAGTTTTCAATAGAAAAATAAAATTATTATCAAAAAGAGAGGTCTTTCCAACAAGTGACAAGTTTCTCTATGTACATCCGACGTAAAAATTGTCCAACCTTGTCAATAAGTCGTGTTGAAAAATAGAAGAAGGGATGGTACATATTAACAAACACCTTTTGTTCTAGCTGTTGGTATCGGGTCAACCAACTACCAACTCCGGCTCCTCTCCCGTTTCCGGTTCTTTGAGTCCCGGAGGATCTGCAGGTCTTCCCGGAGCCCTCTCTCCCGGAGGAACCTCCAGTACGGGCCCCACGCAATGTTGCGAGTCAGGACGACCTCTGGTTACTGACCCGGTGACGGGCCAGAGTGTGTGTTCATGTCAGTACGATTCTGCGAGGTTGGCAGCCCTGCAGTACCGGAATGCGAGCGTCGGCATGTATGGAACCCCTTATCCTTCGACGGACCAAAATCCCTATCCCAGCATAGGCGTTGAGAGTTCTGCTTTCTACTCACCACTGGTAAGTTGATTTTTTGAAAAATATTTTCCATTATTCCATCAAGATCTTCAGAAATCACTAATAAAGGATATGGATATCCTCGTGTAACTGTAATGTGGAAATTGTTTGATTATTATAATGAAAAATTATGGTAATATTCAGTTTTTAAAGTTGTTGCAATGATAGTCGATAAAACAATAGGAAAAAGTGTCATCTTTTTGAACATTTTTTGATTTTTGGAGTAATAATTTTTCATCGGAGTCCTGTTTCCACTATACTCGGGATTTTTGGGAAACTATTCAATCATGTTGAGAATTTTGATAATTTTAAACTATTTTGAGGTTTTTTAATGTTTTCTGCTGTTACTGCCTCATTTGGACGTCCACTGCGATCCGAATCATCAGTGTCTCTATGACCTCGTTTAAAGCCTGCAAACCAACGTTCAATTGTTCATGGAGTCATCTATATTTTTCTTTGTGTATTCTGCCCTTCATTTTCGGGTCATTGGGCAACTTTCCATTTCTGAAGAATAATTCCTCATTGTTTTTCACCCACGATTCTTTCAGTGGATTTTTTTCTTTTCGATACAATATTTATTTACTTTTGCAATTGTCAAACGTATCGTGGAGTCGATAAAAACTCCATTGTGATCACATCAACTGAAATTGCTGTAGTCCGACCCTGTTCACACAAAATCCGATAAAACAAAAACCGGCCGGGAACAAAGCAGGCTAAAAAAGCAAATCAATATTTTGTCTACGAGTCCGAAAAGCCTTTAAAGTGGACAGGACATAATCTATTAAGTACCATACAAGTATAAAAGCCAAATACTACAACTCTGAGCAAACTAAAGTGAAATATGAGTACGTTGGCAGTCCGCTGGCGAATAGGGTTTTGTATGAAGTGCAACTTCAGCGGGAAATATCCGATATCAAGGATATCTGCCAATGCGATCTGTGCCTGTGCATGTTTGTTTTGAATCGAATTTTGTACGTTTCATGATTGGAAAGCCTTTTTGTGGTCGTTCTTTTTCTGTTAAGTGGATACAAAACGAAAATTTAGGCAGTAGGGAAAGTTCTGAATGTTCGGATATTGCAACTGTCGAAATTGTGAACCAGAGATAAATTCATTGCTTATATTAGCAGTCATTAATGAGTGTTTATTTTTTTTGCTGTAATGTTAAGTTGATATTTTTTGATAGGCTTGTTTTTTTGTTTCACAAATGACTAGCGATCCGCCACGGTTCCGCAATGCTGCATACAGATGCAATGCTGATACAAAATATATATGTAAACCCGTGCTATCACTGTTATTCATAAAGTTCTATATGAGAGCGGAGTACGGCTTTCGACGCGCCGCCAGCCCCCAGGCCGGTACCGCCCGAACCACTATGCCGTTTTGAATTCGTGATATCTTGGGAAACATTCATTTGAATTACATGTTGTAAAGGGCCATATTGATCTATATTGAATGCACAATGCATATAAGGTACTTAATAAGGATTAATGCTGTATTGCCTACACCTTTGTGGGGTGTTTTTTTTTCTTGATACCTTGAGAGCTGCCCTGTACTAGTTTGTACAGGTTCCGTGTTGTATGTTCGTCATATTCTTCTGGACGTAATTTCGTTCGGTCCGATCTTTTGTAGTTCGGTGGCCCATCCTGGCCTCCCCCATTATCACAAAGTGTAAAGGAGGTAGATTCAGGATGTCTCCAATGCAACTATTGGGGTAGTTTTTAAGGTGTATAATACTGTAGTACATTTTTTGATCCATCTGGCAGAGTTCAGCCAGCGTTTGCAATGTAAGCGTGTCGAATCTAATGAGCTTTCACAAACTCCTAGCTATCCGATTCATCTGTTTGGAATATCTAACAGAATTTCACGGTTGAGTGGAATTCGAATGAAAATTTTTCAAATCACTAATCTTTAGAAAATCTCTGTTTGAAACCAGACCCAACCTACATATTATTCAAATTACTCGTAATTTGATCTTTCAATCAATATTCTTTGGGAAGAAGTGAGTACAGTTTCTGAAGTCATAAAAATTCAAGTCTATGTCAATAAATAATTTGGAGCTCATTTCATTTCTTTTTCAAAATAGTATATGTAGTTACGAGTTAGGTTCAGTCTGTTTCAAATTCAATTTCACTTTAATACCACTCGAAAATACTGAATTCATCGGTACATCTACTTCGGTTACGGAACCTTTATCATTTATTTACCCCAGATAAAAACCGATAGTGTATCTCTTGTAAATACGATATCCATTCAAAGAATAATGACCACCTATTAAGCAAGGAAAATATTTCTCCGACCGATTCGATTCATTTATCGAAGAATAATAAGGCGGTAAATCATTCGAAATTACTAATTATTTTTAATTAGCGAAGAACGCTGTCTTTGAGTTCATCAGATGTGCAGTTAATTTAATTGAATTTGCTTAATTAAATCATATATCGGTAACAAATAACGACATGTTCATTGCAAATTGCTCCATCGCGCAAAACAAACTCATTAAACCAACTTTCAAATGAGTCATTTGAGAAACTAATAATGGCAGAGACAGAGCAAATGTGACAGGAGGTACATAAAATCATAACATTCCTCAAACTGATAAAATAGTATGGAAATTGAGAAATAAAACTTCCTACGTTTTTTTTTCTCAATTTTCAGGATGGTCTCCTGCCACGTAGTAATGGCTACATCCATCAATTTTGATAAAACTGCAGTTGATTTCAAATGAAAAAAATTGGGAGTTCTACGGGGAACCATACCAAGGTCAGTGTTTTCAAAGGGAAGTTCTTCTGCTGACGCAACCCACTGAAAACCGTCGTAAGGTGGAAATTCTGTCATTGCCTACCCATAAAAATTATTAACGTCTAAATATAAAAAATTGTGAAGATTTTTCCGGAGTGTATGCTTCCATATATTTATTATTTGCTTCAGAATATCTATTCGAACAAACCGACATTCCGCTCCGTATCTCCTCATCTAGAAACATAATTATGTCAATGTCTTTTAAAATTTGTAGTTTACATTTCGTATACTTCAACATGGCATAGTATAATTCCACGCGGCGTCCATACCATAAGTTGCCATGCTTTTTGACGAAAATTTCCAAAAACGATTGTCAGTAATGAAATATCCGTTTTCCAATATAGGTTCCCATACGATCCCAAATTTGTAATTTTGAATGACTCCCAAACATTTTGTGCGTGAGCATATTTTGCATTTGTCATGTATTCATCGTTTACTTTATCATAGAATTCTTCTCATGATGGTCCTGCTGTAACTGTTTGGTTCGGTTACAGAAACTTAGAGTAAATCACACCAGTCAGTGATCATGGTCTCATTTTGATGGGTTTTTGCCTTCCGGCACTCAGTGCCTGAGTGCCTAAAGGCACTCAGAACGTCTTCTGTTGTCGTGGATGATACACTTCATCCCACGTAACGACCCGATCCAAGAAAGAATCATTTATTGCAAAAATAAAAACGTTGGTGAAGAAATGTAGATCTGGAGTCCCTTGGATCATTGCACTCATCGTATGTAGCACCTCTGCAATATTTATCACAAGTTGTCTTATCTTGATATTGGGCGACAACACACACTAATGACAATATTTCAGTTGATTCATCGAAAACAGTCGATAGTAAGAAATTGATATGATTTATCACGAGCAGAGAAAATTTATGAAGGTTTCTCCTAATAGGCTCAGTAAATTAAATTTTATTATACCGTTTACGATACGCCTAGTAATCGATTATGTTGAAGTCTTCGACGATGGCAAAGTAGGCAGAACACTGTTGCCAACAGATAAACATATAAATTGTAAAATAATAGCCGTGCTTGTTAAGATTAAAAGCAAGTAGGTTGGTAATAGCTCGGATACAAATTATTATTGGTATTGATTCTTCGTTTGTTTTAGATCGAACTGAGATTACGAGATATGATATATAGCTTCATTGGATCGGTTTCGACCATCTTGGCTACTAAACCGTAATTATATAGTTGCATCGCTACACGGTCATCAATTATGAGTTATAGCAAATTACATTTCAGCAATACTACTGCAATTAACTCATGACGAGAGTTATGAAAAGGCGACGAGTCCATCTGGGACCAGTTCGTCCTTTATAAAATGGAGGAAGATTGTAGACCGGTTTGACTCAAAAAAATTCAATGAGGAAAAACTGAATTACTGCTTCATAATGAAAATAATGACTTGAAGACTTTGAAAATCAGTGATTTCAAACAACAAAAACATACGCAAGATGATATTAATTGGAAAACCACTGTGGATGATGCTAAAACATGATTCTAGCTACCCACGGGTACTTATAGTAATAACAGAAATGTCTCAACAGTACTAAATTCAATAGAGTAAGTATGTATGTGAGTTGAATACATATCTCTAGTTGGATTCTGTTCAAACTCAATAACTTTTATGGAAAATTTCATTTTATAACCGTTTTTTTGAGGTTGGGCGAATGAAAGGACAATTTTTGGGTACGTTTCCAAATTATCTTCAGACAATCATTAGGACTGACTATTATCGGAGATTTATCCCAACACCAAACCATCATTTCAACACCTCGACACTTGTTTCGATCACCAAGTGATCATCTTCAAAAGAAAGTTCAATCTTCCTCTTGAAGATGATCACTTAGTGATCTAAACACGTGCCAAGGTGTTGAAATAACGGAGTACTGTTGGGATAAATCTCCAGTAATATTAATTACTACACCAAAAGTGCATCACAAGTAGTTATTAGGACTGTTTATTTTTGTCTTGGTCACAGTTATAAACCAAACCTCATAAACTCGACCATCACTTTGATAATCTCCAAATGTCCCACTCTGAATAATTGCCGTCGTAAAAATCGCTAGTTGATCCCAAGGAGATATACGAGCAGCTGTCACATCGATAATCGTTTCAAAATATAACTTGGTAGTGGAATAACTCTCCAGGTTGTGTACAGAAAGATTATACTGTATGAATTGGTATTAGATGTATTTTTATG